ATTTCTGCATCATATCATACAAATTTCCCAAGAAATAAAATTTTTCAAAACAATGTGATCTTTTTTTCTGGGTTGAAAGTTTTTTCTTGGTCCATCAACAGCTTTTTAAAAAAAAAAGGGAAATTTTCATGTCATAAAAGAAAGTAATGATGTTCTTTTAAGCAACTGTGCAATTGAAAAGCTAAGCTATTTTTCCCAAGGAAAAAAAAAAGTTGTGAACACGACTTGAGCGACAAGAAAGAACGTCAAGCAAGGTTTGGGATAATTACGTGAAAAGGTGACTTTCCCCTTTGACTGTTGGGGGCCTGCCCCCCCACTTATTACACCTGTAACTGTGGGCGCTAAAGAGGAAAACAAAACAGGTGACGGTGTGTTAGAAGCGAAACTTTCTGACAGATGATAATATTAAGAACATTGGGTTCCATTGCTCTGATGATGAACTGAAGATGTCTTTTGACTAACTCTAGCAACAGACTTCTTGAAAGAACAATACCACCATTCTGGGTTTTTTGGTTCTCTTCTGCTAAATCTACAAGAATCAGAATGTTTGACTAGGCTCTGCATTCCTAAATCCTAAGAAATTTTTCAAAAACTTCCTGGCAGATTTTGGAGGATCAGGGAGTTAAGGTCAAGTTGTGAGGTCAAACTGCGAGATACGTTTTAGAACGGCCTTGGGTTGGTTCTGTTGTCTCGGGGTCCGTCGTCTGGTGATGGTGTTCTGTACTGGTGGCGGGTTATCTAGCTCCTCATTGGCTGAAAGAAATTTATATTCCAACATCGGAAAGATTTGACCTCTGAAGAAGATATAGGTGGCCTATGACATTTTATCCATGAGATTTGTTTTTAAAAAAAACATTATTTCTCTGCCTCAAGGAAGGGAAAGCTTAGTCACAAATTAATTGAAACTTCCAGAGACAATTTTAACATATTCTAATTGAAACTTTCAAAGATAATTTCATATATTTTTCAATTTTTTTTCATTAATTTTATTGTTCTATTTTATCTCTTTTTTGGAGCTTGAGTTCAAATTTCTATAGAAATATTTGGACAAATGTAATCATGATAATCTTTAAATAAAACAAGAAATAAATTTTTCATGACACATTGTTACTCATGTCACTTGAACAGTTTCTAACCATCACAGGATATTTGAAAGAAAGTAACAGATTTACGACAGATTTCATTACTTGCAAATGGAGGAGAAACTTGAGAAACATTTGGATTCTGGGCCGGTCTCCGTCCTTGCCGGGGGGTGAGAGCCTGCTGTTCTGCTTGGAGTTACGAAGAGGGAGAAAACGTCAGTATTCAAGAATACTTCAACCATGCTGTACTGCATAAGAGAAATTATTTGGTAGTGGCATTTATGACGTTAATCACACTTGATTTGTATTTCTACGTTCACAAGCATGAAGGAATTAACCCATTAATATTTTGATAAATATTAGGAATGGTGTGGAAACCACCAGTGCATGTACTGTATTGGCTGGCATATTCTGATGTCCCAAATTTACATACTGGGATCTGTCAAGGCAGGATCAGGACATTATACATTCAGCGAGGTTGTGATTCTCATTAGGTTAGGGTATAACTGAAAAGGTTTGAGGAAGAAATTCAATTCCGCAGTTTCTACAGCTGTGGATGATAATAACATTGGCGAATATTTGAAAACTTCAACACGCACAGTTGACTGGGTAATGTCACTGGCGTAACAGAGCACAGTGTAGAATGAATGTTGGAGTTTGGTGCAATACTAAAAAGGCTACATATTAAAAACTGTTATGGCTGCGGCTAGTAATAATTCATGCATACACTTATGGCAGCCTCTGGCTAGCGGCTAGTCACTTCACATAGACACATGTGACAGTCCTAGCCATAGCCGACTAATATGAACATGGCTTAGGGAGTCAGTAGTGCTATGTAATGAGGGCTGAACAGCAAACAGTAGGCAAATGGGTAGACGGGAGGGGGGCACCTTGAGGTCGATCATAACGTGTAGCAACACCTGCGGCTTGTCGTTGTTGTCGCTGTGGGGTTTGAGGCTGACTGTAGCTCCCCTGATTGGCTATGAATATAACATTGAATAACGACAGGGATTTATCCAGCACACATATCCACCCTAGCTGGTGTTAGTTTACTGATCACTTACATCAGGCACAAAAGAAGCATTAAAGACAACAAGAGTACACGTATGTAACCGTTGGAAGATTAAAAATACACTATGTGTATCTTCGACTGGCTCCCAGGAATTGACTTGCATTTATTGCCACCATCTCGCTTGTTTGGCACAGCACATGTTAAAATATGCAATAACAAAATGCCCGTCGTAAGAAAGCATTACAATCTAAACATGTATGCGAACAGGATACAAGGTCTGAGAAAAAGTTCATGCCATAATTTTTGTACAGATATTCGCTACAGCCAAGCTTCCCATCTACAGTCATTTGCAAAAGTTTAAGACCACCTTGAATTGGATTGGTATTTCTGTCACTGGGCCTGCATTACATTGTCTCTTTGACTGATTACTTAACAGGATTTTACAGTGGTGCATAACATCAGTGTAGTGCTCTATGCCCATTTGAATGAAATTTTTTGCAAAGGCAGGTCTTGTATGACATTTTATCTGTAAGGTAGCTTGGGGAAAAAAAGCCAGTCTAAGCAATCAGAAATAAAGGAGGGAAGACTGAATATTAGATTGTTAACATCTCAAATCATGGAAATGTAGTCAAAAATGTTCAACCAAGGTACCAAGATTACACATTGAAAATAAACATAGGTTGCCATGATTGATTGGTTTAAGTTTGGTTTTCCTTCAGGTTAATGCATTTTCTATGGGCGGTCCTAAACCTTTGCAAATGACTGTACTAAATGGTTGCAAAAAGCCACTGAGATTTAAGTTTTGGTCAAATTAAAAGTTGTCACATCAAACTTCCATCCTTCTGTTGCCTATTTCCATTATTCTTACCCTCTGCAATCTCTATGTCAGTCATGAAGGCTGCGAAAAGAGGAGAGACACGTCTGTCAATTATGACACGCCGAAGATCCCTCGAACACGCACCAACTTAACAATCAGTTTCCAAATGCAGATGTATTTCTGTCTCACATTTCACTCAGAGGAAATGGTGTACATGTATTTGTTCTTTAGTAACAAGAGTGCTGAGGAACGGTACAAAGTTTTGTGTACTATTGAAAATCTCTGTTTGAAGTCAAACAAAAAACACAACAAAAATAAAGAGGACTTTGTAGTTAAAGTCGACAGCAAATGTGCAGAAAGACTCTGAGGTAACTTTACCACGCACCATTGAGTTTGTCCGGTCTGGCAGAAACTGGGTCAAAATGTGGTAAAAAATTTGAAAATTAGAACTGAATTCATCATCAGGAGGGTTAGTTATTGGAAATGTTGAAAGTATTATCAAATTAAAGGTTCACAACCTGCCACCAAAGTGGAAATAACGAAAGAGTAGGCTATCAAACATATTTCTTCAACTACAACATTAAAACAGGTGTCTATACTGAAAAGTTAACAAGTTGTTTTACCAGCAAACGTGTCCCCATCTTTACCCAAAACGGCACCTGCGGGCAAAATATTCATCGATCAAAATTAACAGATTTTTTAACATCTGCAAGTTTTCACACAGTGTCAGAGAAGGGGGGTTAATGAACACGAAGCAAAAAAAAATCACAGTAAATTTCAGAGCAAAACTGCTCCTCGCTGTCAATGAAACTTGGTGGTTTTTCACAGTCATGGTGCAAGAAGAACCTTGAAACTAAAGTCTCAGATCTGTGTCAGAACACAATTGTAAATCACGGCAATCTTTAAGATATCACAAAAACAACATGGGAATCCAGGTAGATAAACAACATCTGCCCATGACGACGACAACAATATTTGGCCCCACAACCTCAGGTCCTCTTTGGTAAGATCTCAGCATCAGGTTTTAAGGGATGAAGCCTATTTTTCTACACCTGAAAATTCAAACACAACGCTCACAATTCGCAAATTTATATCCATGAACTTACGAGTCAGATTTCCTAATCACTCCCGACAAATTTATATATTTTCAACAGGTAACCAATCATCTCAACAGATGGTAGTCAGACAAACACTTGACGAATTCAACCTGTGCTGTGCAGTAGCAAGATTATCCACGGCAACAACTCAGTGACTACTGTACAAGATGTGATAAATGTACGTCAGGCAAACAGTAAATTCATGAGAAATATTCACCGCCGGTTCTGCTAAGTGACCGTGACATGGAGTCGATCCAAGTGCGGGCTGTTCTCAAATTATCTACAGAAAAAACGAAACTATCGGTCAAAAACTGAAAATGAGCTTTCCATGTCTGGCAAGGAGGTTAAATACTCATCATGACGCAAAGAAGATGGCGTCATTAAGGTGCCATCAAAGTTCCACACACCATATCTACAGGCACAAACGACAAACAGACAACCTGGCCAACTTCTGGACAGACAGACATACTGAGCATGTGAAATACAAGAATCTAATTCACCAATAGGGAGCTTTCAAAATATGGCAAATACTCCAGTATGGCTCAGGCCATGCTCACAGTACCCAGACACAGGTGCAGAACATCTGCTGAACTTTTACGTGCACATCTCCGTGTTCACAAACAAATCCAATCATGATATCTATGGGTCATCTGTTGATTGATACCGCTACAGTGCAGTTATAAGGCCTGCGTATCCGGCAGTACTGCTTTACAAGACACTACTGCAATTATTACCCCCGTTCATCAGGCCATGAGACAAATGGGGAAGCCCATATCAGTGCAAGTCTGACCTCTTCTCTCACTGGTACCTGTTGATACTTGTGGACAAAGAAAGACAAGTTGTGGTAAAGTAACTTGCCCATGACATCCAACCAGCTGCCGGTTTTTGAACCCCCGACCTTATGATCAGACCCACTACTTGCCTGCCTTCCCAGGTAAGATCAGGCTTTTCATCCTGCAAAGGAAGATAATGGCAGAATGTTCCAAACTCACCAGGATCGGGATCCATCGGATTCCTCACACCGTAGTACATGTACGGATCCGTGGATGTCGCATTGAGCGTAGTTTGGTAGTTATTCAGACTGAACGGCCTACAACGAAAATATTGCATGAAAGTGTACATTCAGTATACTGTAATTTGACAACCAGAATTAGAAGAAGAAGATTTAATGAAGTTTCCTAGGAAGTTTTGGTGTATTGGAACAAAAATGAGTTTCAATACCTCTCTATCATGGGCGCTTCGCCTAACCGTGACTTGGCAATGGCCTCCTCTAAGCCCAAGGCTGGCACAGGGGGCTGTACGGATGGCCCCTGGCTAGCTGGGTAGGCCTGGTTAAGGAATGATGGCTGGTAGCCCGCCTGCTGAGCACCAGCTTGCTGGGCAGCGGGAGGTTGCAATGGGGGTTGCTGGCCGGGTACCGGTGTTCTTGAGGCACTGCGGGGTGCATAACCGAGACCTTGTCCCTGCAAGAGCCAATCAAAGGGCAAAAACAAGCTAAGTGTGAACTCTTTCATGGATCACAACAAAAGAAACAACACCATGTTTACACTTCGGAAAAACACGAGCTTAGGAACTGAAATTTCTTGCAGGTGAGAAAGATCTTTAAATACCTTTTTCGTAGGATCATTTGCACCACTTGCGTTGATGCGCATTTCTGCTTGCTTCTCTCTGTAACAAAAAGAATAATTATGGTGTAATTTCACAAAGCTTTTAATACCTCCAAGGAAAAGACTGATTTCAAGCACACCTGTTTCTCAAGAGGTTTTTCATCGGCTGAGGTCAAGTCCATCACAAGTCCGTAACAAGTCATCCTGTCTCAAGCCAAGTCACAAGCTATTCAAACTGGGACAAAAGCATTCCTTTGCCACTGTTAACCCTTCATATCCTGGCTGGCCTTTCCAAAAAGGGACTTGTGACTGGACTTTCAATGGACTTGACTCCTGCCCTGCTAATTATCCAAGAGGTAGTCTTGTGGCTCTCTGGACCAACCTCCTCTTGGCATCTTGCGTTTCTTTCATCTGCTGCTCTAGTTCTTTCCGATACTGCTCTTTCTTTCTCCTTGTTGCACTGGCTGTATCGCGGTTTCCTGTTGTCATAACGAGAAGGAAAAAAACTCCTAATGGCTAGAAATGTCTAGTGTAGGCCGAGTACGGTCACAGTCGCCATGGTTACAACACATTACAGTGAACAAATGACAAGTGTGAAAATGCTTTGAAGCCAAATTAACATACGGCACTGGACGAAAGGTTTCCTAACCTTCAGAACCATAAATGATTGCTTCCAAATCCTGACCATTCCCAACCAAATGGGATTCTATGAGATTTGATGAAACCTTGAGGATTAAGAGTGATCTTTCATGATGAAGAAATTTTAATCGAGTGCCTAAGGCATAACGATTCATGCTACAGCAAGCAGTAAATGTCTGAAACAAACTGTGAAGCTCAAAAAGATGTTGACAGACTTACCGATGGCAATGCCTACTTCTTCATTAGATAACGTAGCGGACTTAGCTCTGGGCGGGTTGTTGTCAATGTTACCACCAGCTCTGCTGATGTTAGACCTTTGCCTGAGGAGAAAAACATTAAAACCAATAAGGCTTGTCTGAACTATGTCTGTGGTTAGCTTTAAGATGTGTCTCAGACAAGTGGATTGGACCACCTCCACTAACACGCATGTTTGTGTTAGTCGAAGCTAAATGTTTTTCATATGGTTTGAAGTCTCGTGGAGGTCATTTTTTGCACAGCACTGCAACACTGCCGCAACCTTTAGGAGCAAAAAGATTTCACAACCCAAAATTTGACGGCCTCCCCACAGCAAGAGTTACCGGGACAATCCCAGACCTTGGAGTGTAGCAGGCAGGGTTCGAACCACTACCACCTCATTTGGTAGACAAGAACACTGACAAGTCTGCATGTCTGCCCCAAATATCAACAACAACTTTGTGTGTGGTGGGGGGGGACACAGCTCTAGCCGGGGGGGGTGATCTCTCAAGAATAATAGATTTTATTTGGACCAGCTGGCAGTCAGGGAAAGACTTACTTCCATAAAGATAAACTAATTCAGAAATGCGCTACAAAAAATCTCACCTGTCCATTTCAGGTAAAGTTCGACTGCGTCCACCACGACTTATATTCTGCCATAAAACAAGACAAAGGCGCGCATATAATGAAAATAAAAAGATATTATATGAATTAAAGATATCAAAACTCCAAGCGATTTCAGGTGCAATACCGTCGTGTCAGTGCAACAAGGTCGTCACTTGCATTTGTTTTGTATACGAGATACGACCTTGTTGCGCTGACGCGACGATACCATGTTTTGCATTTACCCAGTCATATCCCAACGGTTCACTCAGCACGTCCCTACCATCTCCGGGGGCTCTGTTTGCTGGGGGTCTGTCATACCGTGTGTTGCCTGGAGGTGGATAGCCCCTGCGATCCAAAACACAACTCAAGTAAGTGCAACAGAAACTGAATTCTCCGATCCAAGGAATGAGGAGGTTGATAGGAATGGGGAATGTCCGGGGGGGGGTCTTCCATGGGGGTGGGGTCTCTCTCCTACTAACTGATGAATTGATCACAGTCAGTGATTAATTGGAATTATCCTAGCTCATATAACCGTCACATACTCCAGAAGTTTGGGGAACACTTTTAGTCAATGAAGCCTCGAGTGTTATCCCTTCTAACTGTTACCATTAGCTTCGTCTACAGGAATGCACGTCGAGTATAAAACCAAATTCAAATGGCTTTATTGAAAAAGGCTCTGCGTTTTCTATGTCAGAGTTGTCTTTTGGCCTAGCAGTGACTGGTAATGTACAACAGTTGGGCATCAGTACAAAATCCAAAAGGAATAATTGATTAAGTTTTCTCACCTGTCCGGATTATGGTCATCACTGAATCTTACTCTCCTGTGGTGAGATTACAAGGCAAGACACTTTAATACAAATGGTGAATCCAAGTAGCTTTACTTGACAAAGAAACAGTACAATAATGATGTGTAATCGAGGAAACGGTTGATAAGCGGCTCACAGTAAAACAGGTTGGTCTACAACACCGCAACGCCAAACACTCAGCTTGGAATTATACAAGCTATGACTGATCATTTGATTACACGGAACTTAAAACTTTCAATGAAATTTGTGATTTTTAATAAGTAAAAGAATCAATGCACGATTGCTTATTTCTTTGAGAAAGATTTTCAGTGCCAAATGCCAGAATTGGAAAATAAAAAGTCTTCTGGAAAGGAGTATTCTTCGAGTTTGTGTTTATGCTTGTATAAAACAAGGATTTATTATCAAAGGTTACCTTCTGTCGTATTCTTGGTCATGATAGTCATACCTCGCTCGGGAATATCTTCCATCCTACAGAACATGAAGCCAATATCAATATAGTAGCCCTGGTAACTCTCAGCCAAAAAAGCAACAAAATAAATGCTAAAAAGGGAAAATAATAATTAACCACTTCGGACCGGGGCATTTTTCAACATTGAGGATGCTGGGCCGGCATGACTATCATTTTTTCTGTTTTCAAAATCCTTCAACAATTCATCATTTCA